TCAAGGTGGAACATCAGGCTCCCTTGGGTGTACTTCATCCAATTCATATACTGCAATGTAAGTGAGATAGAGTGACTACGGATTTTGTGATTGGTTTACCAATGATGAGGTACAATCATGATGCAGTTTGGGTGATATTAGATCAATTAACCAAGTCGGGCCATTTTTCACCGGTTTGAATGGATTTTACCCTAGAGGTTAGCAAATCTCTATGTCCATAAAATAGTCAGGTTACATGGGGTTTCATCTTTAATCATTTCAGACAGAAATCCCAAGTTCACTTCTCGGTTTTAGGAAGTTTTCCACGACTCTTTAGGAAATAAGCTCTATTTTAGCACCGCGTTTCATTCTCAGACTGATGGTCAGTTCAAGCTTGTCATACAGTTTCTCGAGGACATACTCAGATGTGTAGTTTTAGATCTTGAGGGTAGTTAGAAGATCACCTACCATTAATTCAGTTCACATACAATAATAGTTACCAATTCAACATTCAGATGACCCCATATAAAGCATTGTACGGGCGAAAGTGTATGATTCCTCCTTGTTGGACTAAGCTTAGTGAGGCAAAGATTGATCAGAGAAACTAAGGAAAATGTCAAGTTTATTCAGAGTCGGCTAAAGGAAACATCGGATATTCAGAGGTCTTATGTTGATTTAAAACGCAAAGATATTGAGTTTACCGTGGGTAACAAGGTATTTCTAAGGTATCTCTATAGAAGAAAGTACTCCAGTTCATGTGTAAAGGAAAGTTAACTCCTCGATTCATAAGCCTGTATGAGGTACTTGAGAGGATCATACCGGTGGCCTATCCTTTAGCCTTACCCCCAGATTTGGAACACATTAATAATGTGTTTCACGTGTCAATACTTAGAAGGTATCGTTCTGACATTTCACATGTTTAGACGGTAGAGCAAGTTTAGTTGAGCTTAGATATGACCTATGAAGAAGAGCCCATCCAAATCTTAGCCAAAAAATGAAAGAGTTAAGAAACAAAAGGATTCCACTGGTGAAGGTACTGTGGAGGAATCATGGGGTTGAGGAAGCTACGTGAGAAACAGAAGAAGATATGCAGTTGTAGTATCTGCATCTTATTTATCCAGGTAAATTTCGAGGAAAAAATTTCTTATTAGAAGGATATAGTTGTAACACCCTGAATCCCGAGTCAGTAGTTCGGGTCAACTTGAGGCCTATAAGTAGAGCTGATAGATCTCTTAAAATACTTTGACCCAAGAATTAAAGATAAGTGATAATTTTGGGATGGGTTAAAAAGAGAAGGACCAAAAGTACAGTCTGCCCATTTCTTAAATTTAAAGGATAAAATCCTCTTATTTCACATGAACCATTCCCCTAAAACTTACCAAATACTCTTCATCATTTCTTTCTCCTTCTTCCTATCTAAAGATCAAAGCTTTAAGTAATTCAAGTTTAGTTTGGGTTAAACAAGGTAAGAACCTTAATCTCCATCCCTTAATCTTTATTTCAAGTCTATAATCTCAAGTTTTGTCATAGTTTCAAAATTGGGTTTTAGGGAGGCTTAAGGGAATTAAAGGATTCAAACTTGTTTTTAGTAAAATTTAGTCATATGTAGTGTTCATAACTCGATTTCCAAGCCATAAACAAGTTAGTAATTCCTTTTTTTAATTTTGTTTAGTGAAATAGGTGGGAGAAAGTTCTAAGGCACGAGGGAAAGATAAGGTAATTCCTAGTTGATTTGGGAGAGGCTTTAGTAGCAAAGGAAGCAAGGTAACAAATTCATAACTTCTTCATACCATTTATAGGTTATTAGAAAATGAATTTTAGCTTAAGAGTTGAGTTTGAAGCATGCTAAGTAGTTTCATGGTAAATTCCATGTTTCGGTGTTATAATATGTTTTAAAGACTTATTAATGACCCTTTTTTTATCAATTAAGACTTAATTAAATATTGGGAACCTCAATAGAATAGTTTAGGAGAGTTTAAGTATCAAATTCGTGCCCAAACAGGGCATTTAGTAGAGATAGTATCGGTACTGTAAGGGCAACATTGATACTGTTCATCTTTTAGATAAAACATTAGGTAAAATTTAAAGGGAAGGTGTTGATACTCATTCATTGGGTATCAATACCAGGGCATGAGTATCGATACTCTCCATAGGGGTATCGATACTGGGGTATTTTTAAAAACATCGAACCTAAATTTGGTACTGATACTAAGTATAGTATCAATATCCCATCACCGAAATATCGATACTCAGCATAAAGTATCGATACTGCCTTACTCAACTAGCTTATATTAATTGAGAGATATTGATACCTGCATGTGGGTATCGATACCAAGGGGTTTAGTATCGATACTAAAAGTTCAGTATCGGTACCCACAGGCAGTTGGATGAAAAGTCTAAGGAATCTTATGAGAAATTGAGGTTTTTTAAAATCTCAAATTACTCTCAAATAAGACTACAAGTTAGAACAAGAATAATGTTTAATTACAACTAGAAATGAGATCATTTTAGGGTGACAAAAACTATCCTTGTTTGAATACTCGGGAAATGATTAGGACACCTGATTCACTTTAGCAGATGATAATAGTATTGATAAGTATTCAGTCCAGATATCCTTAGGTATTGTGCAAGGCACTTTAAACTAACTGACTGGGGCCAAGGCCCGACACTCGCAAGAGGTGTGTTAATTGAGGGTGTTAACTGATGCAGAGTTTTAGGCATCATCCTCGGTAGACTAAAGGGGTGTGTGATCTTCGAGATGTAGAACCCTCAGCCGCACCATGATGCCTACCATAGAGTAGAGAGTGAGTATACAAGTATACTCACTAATGCATTAGACTTGATAGCTTGAGCATTTTATTGATATGCATTTAGTATGATTTAGTTGTTAGTGTGGCATTGGAATTTGTTTCCTTACGCAGATTTGTAGGTGAAGTATTCGAAGAGCTTTTGAGTCACTGAGATCCAGACTAGGTGAAAAGTAGAGTACGTCTCAGGATTTTTTGAAGGGCATGTATATTTATAGACCCGGTTGTAAAGTTGAGTCATAAATTTAAATTGAAAAGTTGGTTTGTATATTTTGATGTATGTATTTATCTTGGGAACTCCACGATATAATATTTCAATTATATTTATGGATGAATTTCCGTATTCAAATGGTTTTTACAATGTTTGTTTTAAATTAAGAAAATAAAAAAATTAGGTTAACCGCTCAGGTGGTTCCGTGTGGCATTCTAATCAGTCGACTGTGTGTCATACTGGTTTAGGGTGTTACATGTACATTTATCAATGTCTCTAAAAAATCTATAATTTTTTCTTCTCATATACAATACACATATACACACCAAGTCACTTTAAGGATGTACGCGATTAACAATTTCCCCACTAATATGGTAACCGCCCAATCAAACTGCTCACTCCAACTCCCAACAAGCCTATGAACAATGCAAATTCTTAAAACATCTTACCAAGTCACATTTGAGAATGAACATTCGAAGAAAATATGATCCCTTGACTCTTCGACAACACCACAGACTTACAAATATAATACATCATCATTTTCATTCACACCAGACGATCAATAGTGGACAACTTATTGAGAAATGACATCCATGTAATTACTACATGCTTTAGAACATTCATAGAAAACCAAAGCAACATATTCCAGACAACCTTGTTCCTTTTTTCCCTGATTTTCTCCCACAACCCTCTTGACCTCCAATCAGTAGAGCTAGCTAGAACAGTCCTAGCCTCACCCTTCATCTTTACAACCTTCCTCAAAGCCCAACTGAAACTAGGTTTACACTTTATATGTCATATATCAGCCCCTTTATGACATACCTATGCATCCATACAGACTATAAAGAAACCACACCAGAAACAATGCTTTTGAGAAAAACAAACATGCAAGCCTTATTCTAGCAGTTCAACCTATTAACTCTGAAGCCACTTTTAGATTTGAGAAATAAAAACATTTTCTTAGTTGATCCTAACTCCCCTAGCAGGGACATCCCTACCATTCTAAAAGAATCTAGCACACAATTGCTCAATCCATTTTACTACACCACATGGCAGAACATGTTCCATGCATTACTAATTTTCAACATTAAAGAGAACAATCCCAATAAGATGTAGCATGCCAGTATAACTTAACTATCTATTAGCATAGTTCCCAAACTTGGCCTTAATTTTCTCCACTAGGACAACATATTCTTTCTATATAAACTTATGAGTGACAAGGGAAACCCCCCAAGTACCTAACAGACAGTACTCTAATCCTAAACCTAGTTTCCTCCACATGAGCAACATTTGCTCCCCAAAAATGCCTGAAGTATACAATTCAGACTTAACAACATTAAGCTTTAGACAAGAAAAATCATAAGACATCTCTAACACATTTTTCACCCAAAATAGAATTTAAAGTCCCTTTTGTTGAAGATGAGCAGGTCATCTGCAAAATAAAAGTGGGTGAGCTTCACTCTTCTGCATTTAGGATAGAACTAGAATACCTTTTGGGTCACAGCTTCATTAAGATACATATAGAACATTAATAGCTAAGGGGGATAATGGATCCCCTGTCTTACTCCTCTCTGACCCTTAAAGAAATCAACCAAAGTACCAAAAAAGATTATGTTTTAAGTATTTCCAAATATGGTGTTATTAAATATTTTAAAAGTGTTCTTAGAATTATTAAATAAGTTCCAAAGGATAATTAAGTTGACTTTTAAGTATGAATGGTGACTAAATTGTGTTATATTAAATTAAGAAATTTGAGTGACTAAATCAAATGATTTCAAAATCTTAAATATCTATAAAGCACTTTCACCAATGTTGTGATTGTTCTCTTTTTCTCTCAATTCCACCGTGTTTTCTTTTATCCTTATCTAAGATTTTTATTATTTATTTTATTAATTAAAAATTAATTTTTACTTCCATATTGCATCATTCACGTTTTTTGTGCGAACCAAAATACTTTATATTTTCCCTCATTTTTCTTCTCATGACTAAAAACTTCCCTTTTTTTTTCAAATGCTCATATTCTGTTACTGATTTTTTATTCACTCTTGATTATTTCTTTCTTAAGTTTATCATTTCTTCATCTCCCTTAACCCTATTTTTTGGCCGATTCTTTCTAGAGATCTCCTAGATTTTTTTCTTCTTCTAGTTCATGCTTCTTCTTTTCCATCATATTTCCTTAAATTTCCAGAAAGGTAATTTTATTTCCTTGGTTTCTTTAAGCTTTTCCGATTAAAATATTTTGATATCAATGGGTAATACATGATTGCATAAGTGATTTGGTAAGATTTCATTTTTGGTTGATTTTCGGAATAAATAAAAGGGGTATTTTCTTGATTATTTCTATTGATTCTTGACGGATTTAAGATGTTTAAAGGTTGATTATAATGATATTAAAATAGTTTTTCAATTGGATTTGATTTCCATTTTGATTTGAGCAAGAAATGACGATTTTAGTGATTTTTGGAAATCCGGGAATGCTTGTGTTGGCTGCTGATTTGGGTGGTTTCTTGGGTTATAAATCATGTTTATGATTGTTTAGGATCAGGCTAAGTGTGAGGAAGCAAGAGATTCTCAAGTTAGAATGTTTAGATCGCAAGGAGAGCAAGGTTTTCGATTCTTTGTTTGATTTTCGTTCTATTTTAGAAGTAGAAGTTTTTGCTCTATTTTTGATGTCCTAATGAATCATTAGTATGTTTTATAAGGTCCTTATGGGGTGTATGATGAGGTAAAATTAGTGTACCAATATTCGACATCGAGTTAAGAAGCAGTTGAAGTTAAATTGTGTGATTATGACATAGAGGTGAGTGGCTGACCATTAACTTGTGATGAATATGTTCAATGTTGAATCAAGGTTTAGTTGTGAGTGAACTCTAAAATTATGGTTTCAATTCAAGTATACTTGTTGTTAAAATTAATGATGTGAATTCATGAATTTTTATTTAAGTGATTGTAAAGAGCATGTATTTTATGACATGATTTGTGACATTGAAAGAATACGATTTATTCAAGCATGTGTAATATGATAAGTTGATCATGAGTTGTGGTGTATTGGAATTAATTGATCTTTACAAGCATGAATATTTAAGTATGTTAATTATAAGCTATGATGAATTAAAGGTGGGTGGTTATTGCAAGAATGCACATTGAAGCTTGATTTATTATGAGTTATGAAGCATGAGATGCAAGTGATCATTGTGAATATACATGTGATTTATGGAAGGTGAATTGAATATGTGATATGATTTATGATATGTGGATTGCATAAGTTGCATTCTATGCATAACCGTTTTTGAAAACTATGTTTCAAGCCTATGTGATATTTAACTTAGGGAAAAGTAGAGACAATCTACTATTCATGGACGAGTGGAGACACTTCGTTGTCCAAAAATGAGTGGGGACACTTCACTATTCTATTTGGGTTGATCATGACAACCATCCTTAGTTTTTAAAATTATGTTTAAGAATATATATATGTATATGTTATGCATCGATTGTTAATTGCTCATGATAACCTGGATTGATTGGAAATTTGTTCTTAACGGGACCTTTGGATATGAAAGGCATGCCTAGGAAAGAGTACTCTATGTTTTTGACAAATATAAGTGTAAGGGTAACGAGGTTAGGTTGGTATGTTGAGCTTTGTTCCTAGAAGTTATATGAGGCAAGGTTTGTGCGTTGAGCTTTGCTCCGAAATGTGAAAGTTGGGACCTATGTGAGACCAAAATAAAAGGAGTTGTATGGATTTCTTTTATCAAATGAGTAGTTATGTTTCCAACAAATGCCATTAATCTTATATGGAAACAAATGTGTTTTGTGTGTGGATATTCCTAGCAAGGTAATTGTGCATAAGTGTATGTGATTGACAACAGTGAATATGTTGTATTTAAGCATGTTTATATTCTTTAATTTGTGTGGAATTATGGTGCATAAGATGAACATTGAAGCATGAAATTATGGTATGATCATTGAGGTAAAAGCAACTGAGGTTCCATGGCATATAGGTTGCTTTCCTTTAGCCTTGACATGTACATCATATTTGAATGTTTAGTTATTCACTGAGCTTTATGGCTCACACTCATTGTTTAACATTTTTTAGATTATCTCTTGTTGATTTGAGCTTGAGAAGGAAAACACTTGGTGGTGATCAAAGCAAGGAGGCATTTGAAAAGTTATTTTGAACCTTGATTTCATTTTGAGGCAAAATGGGATCCTTTATTTGGTTATGTGTTGGCTTGTACATTTGCTACTTGTTAGTGTGTAAGTGACCTTTAATTACCTATGTTGAACTTTGATCCTTGAATATATGATGAAATGATAAATGTTGATGTTGAATTGCATGTTATGCAATATGTTTTAGTATGCCTTAAGAGACCAAATGATATTATATGCATTAATTAAGTGTTTTTATCATTTAGGCAAGTCATAATAAGTGAATATAACATATTAGGCCTTTAGGATGCATGAAATAACCAATGATGCACAAAATGGTTAGGTGACTTATTTTTAAGTTGACTTTTTATGCAAAATTTAACTTTTGATGATAAATACTTATATGTTATGCTAAATGATGTTATAGAGCATGCTACATATGTATTATGACATGTTCTAAGTGGTTTAAGTGTGTCCAAGCATGTTCGTAGACCCTAGAATCGATTTCATGAACAATTGGATGCATGTTCTTGCTCATTAATATGCATTTTCTGCATTTTTCAGAAAAAGATCAATCTCTAGCTCCATTTTTAGCTACTGTTTTACAAAGGATCGATCCCCCGTGAAAAGAGTTTGATCCTTTCATTGTGGGATCGATAAAAATAGGTAATATTACATTCATTAAAGTCCTAAAGTGTTCCCTAAGTCCTTGGATGGTCCCTAAACTTTAAATTGTATTTAATTTGGTCTAAAACTTGATTTTATGATTAATGATTTATTTTAAGTCGGATTTGGTTTAAATTTGTTCTATGACTCTATAATATCACCAATTTCATAATGGATCTTTCAATTTTATGTTTTTGCTTTCTTTGCATATTTTGAAAAGTTTATGTTTTAGTCCCTAAATAGAGCATGTTTAATTAAGTCCCTAAAAGATGTCCGGTTAAGCTCAAATTTTAAATGTGATTAACTAAAGGTTAGAAATGAATATTGTAAAGTTTAAATTTCTCTTTTCCATGGAATTTATAATGAAATGTGAAATGACCATTTTACTCATGCATAGTTAATAGCGTTCATATTGCGATGCATTAGTGTACAACTGTCGTAAGCATGATTATGGTATATATATCGTTGATTTGTATTGCATGATGAATGTTTATTTTTAATTTCTTTCACTTGGTATTCATGAATAGGGTTGTTGATCTATCTTACTTGATTAAAATCTAATGTGCACTAAGAATATTGGGTCATTTTACGTGGTCGGGTATAGGGTATTACTATCAAAATCTGATTCTCGAACTGCACAAGAAGCCCCAAAGCATTCAAGATATGCAAAATAAAGCCTCATTCTAGAGAATTAAAGACCTTATGCATGTCTACTTTAATGGTACACCTAGGGGATATATCTTTTTATTATATTCTTTAATAATGTTCTATCCAATGAGGGTATTATCAACAATACTCCCTTTCATAAAAGCATATTGGTTAGGAGCTATCATACAAGGGATATGTTGAGCCAACTTAGTAACCAGAATCTTAGTTATAGCCTTATACACTACAGAACAATAAGAAATAAGCATGAAAACTCTAGTCATTCAAGGATTGGGCACCTTAGGGACAAGAGTAATAACAACGACATTAAAAGCATGCAATAGAGTGAAAAAGTAAAGAAATGTCTTATTGTTGCAATAAAATCATCCCCAACAATTTCCCAATAAGCCTTGAAGAAGCTAGAAATGTATCTATCAGGTCCAAAAGCTTTATCCTGCCCTGACCACAAATGGCATTCTTGATCTCTTCATTTGAGACCTCCTTAAAAAAAACCATTACTAGCTTCAGAAGGTCGATAAAATTAAGCAACTCCCTCAACTTCTCCACACTATACTCATTTACATTCTCATCAACAGAACCAACCTAATTAATTAAAAATCTAAACATTTCAAATGATACGCCATCAAAAGTCTCCAACCTATTACCTCCTTCATCTTGAAAGGCCCTAATATTATTCTTCTTCCTTTCGACAACAACCTTAAAATGGAAAAACTTGATGCAACGATCCCTTCATAGAGTCAAGCAACCTTGGCTTTTTGTTTGTAAAAAACCTTTTCATCATTCTCCAACTCTACAAGCTCCAACTGCAATTGTTTCTCAACCCCAATATCACCAAATTTAGGAGAAGAAAAATTAAGAACCTATTTCTTCTCAAGCTAATCTTGTAGCACCCTATACCTGGTTACGAAGATTAATCCGAATACTTAAGCGTACATTAGATTCCAATCATGTTGGACAGAACAAAAACCCTAAACATGTGTGATAAGCAGAAGAAATTTATATTTAAAACATAAATCACTTAAGACATGGAAACTACTAGCAAGAATATTAATCACAATATTTACACGATCAATATCTCGAGATAAACATTATTCACAATGCAGTGATAATTTGGATATTTCACACTACATACGTGTTCAAGTCAAATTCTTATTTTAAGGTTAACAATATTCATTATTACCCATTAATTAGTGGCAAGGAAATTTTTAGGTTAATCAGATATCAAACAAGGGTCTAATTGAATGTGCTCAACTTAGGGACTAAAATACAAACTTTTCAAAATATGAAAATAAACCAAAAATAAGAAATTGAAGATTAAAATATTAAATTATTATCATTATAGAGTCATATAACAAATTTGAACAAAATCTAGTTGAAGCCAAGATTTAATTATAAAATCACGTTTTTAGACCAAATTGAATACATTTTAAAGTTCAAGGACCATCCAAGGACTTAGGGAACTCTTTAGGTCTTTAATAAATGTAATTTTGCCAATTTTAATTGAATAAACAAAGAAGGGATTGATCCTTTACAAAACAATGAGTTTGGGATCGATCTTTTAGGGAATGGATTGATCCTTTGCCTTAAGGAATCGATCTTTTTGAGCAAGAGATCGATCCTTTCTTATGAAAAATGCGTAAAATGCATACCAATGTACATGAACATGCATCCAATAGGTCATGCAATCAATCCTAGGGTCTAAAAATTTGGTTGGACACCCTTAAACCACTTGGAACATGTCGTAATGCATATGTAATGTGCTTCTTAACATCATTTAACATAACATACAAGTGTTTAGCATCCAAAGTCAAATATTGCATAGAAAAGTTAACTTAAATTCAAGTCACTTAACCATTTTGTGCATTATTAATCATTTAATGCTTCCTAAGAGTCATATATTATGTCATCCTATTATAACTTGTCTAAGTGATCAAAACATGTATTTAAGGCATAAATCATACTTTGAAATACTTGGCATATTTAGTAATAGGGCACAACATGTAATCCAACATCAAACTCATCATGTCATTATTCATTCAAGAGTCAAAGCATAATATAAGTCATTATAGGTCACTTATGCACTAGCAAGGGTCACAAGAACAAATCAACTTAAAGCTCAATTATGGATCCCATATTGCCTCAAAATAAAACTAAGATTCAAAATAACTTTACAAAAGCTCCTTTGCTTTGATCTTCACCAAGTGCCTTGTCCCTCAAGCTCTCGAGTCAAAAAGTAAAAATCTGAAAAATATTAAACAACGAGTGTGAGCTATAAAGCCCAGTGAATGACTAAACATTCAAATATGATGCATGTGCCAAGGCTAAAGGAAAGTATACCTAAATGCCATGAAACCTTGCTTGTTTTTACCTCAATGATCATAACTTAATGTCATGCTTCAATGTTCTCTTAATGCATCATAAATGCTCACAAAATCCATATTATAATCATGTTTTACATCATCATATACCTTGCACTAAATCACATGCACTCATGCACAATTACCTTTTCGGTAAAGTCACATATTTCACATACATTGTTTCAATTAAAGATCAATGACCTTTGTTCAAAATACAACTCACTCATTGGATAGACGAATTCCATACAATTCTCATTTTATTTGCGGACTCACATAGGTCTAAAAACCACGAAATTACGAAGTAAAGCTCAACGGCCAACCTTACCTCGTGTCTTCTCGGAGCATAGCTCAATGCACTAATCGAACCTCGTATAACCCGATCACACACACATAAAACTCATAGAGAACTCTTTCTTAGGCATGCCTTTCATATCTGAAGGTCCCACTAAGAGCAAATAGCCAATTAATCCGAGTTACCAAGAGCGGTTGTCAATGATGCATATTTTTTCACATATATTGGTTCAAACTCATTTTCAAGCACAATCACAATTGGTTGTCATAATCAATCCACATTATAGATAGTGAGATTATTGACTCGTCTAAGCACACATTCACACTTAGAGATGGTTATCATGATTAACCTCACACTTATGGAAAGCAAGAATGTTCGACTTGTCCAATCACACATTCAAATTATATAAAGATTTTCGGAAAACATTTTCAAAATTCTATTAATAACCCTGTAAAAAGGTTGTATTTTTGTGCTTGTAGAACCAAAGCCTGTAGAACCGCGCTTGACCAAACATCGCTTGAAACGATCCTTCGGGCATGCAGCTGAAACTTTTGTTGTAGTATATGAGGCCGCAACCCCAACCAAGACCACCCAGCAAACAGAACCAAAAGAATCCAACCCAAATAAAAGACACACCAGGCGTACTGGGACAAGACACACCACAATAAGGTACCTCTTGTAGCTTTTGCATTCATGTAGTGTAAGTTAGTTAATTTAGTCTTCACACATTGAGGACAATGCAACCTACAAGTTTGGGGGAGGTATTGTCCATAAGTAAACATTTGCATTGATAGTATGAGTAGAATTATGTTATGGCATTTAGTTAGGTTAAGTTAGTTTTTGTTGAAATAAGTTAGGATGCCTGATGATGTTAAATTTTTTCCATGGCTGTTAATTGAATGTACATGACTATTTGGATTGATAGGACAAATTTTAGAGCTTGAGACTTTGTGAACCTTGATACACGATTATATGTTTTCCATGCTTAAGGAACTTAGCAATTTTTATGAAAAAACCTTTGCATGTTACAGTATTAATTTATGAATAATGTGCTTAATTGATAAATGCTTGATTAAACTCCCTTGTGCTTAAATGTTGTTGAATTTTGAATAAATGCTTTGGTGTAAATGTAGAGGGACATCATCCTTGCTATAGCAGTGCCCGGATACTGCGTTTCAATAAATGGCAGCTATATCATACGAGTAAATGAAATTAGTCATGGGATGACACTACTTGATTAGCTCGAAGATGGAAGGTATGCTCCCATTCATCTAGAGTGTGGGATGGTAGTTGTGATAGGTTGAATCCCCTCGTAGTAGTGTGAAAAGAAAGTTAAGCTAAATTTATGTTAAGTTAATGTTAATGGGAGTAAATGTGTGCTTAATTGGTAAAGAAATGCTAAAGCATAATAGGGAACTTAATTAGAATTTTTCTAACTTCGTAAAGAATGGACTGGATATAATCACGCACACACAATGCAAATGGTCTTGCTCTAGGGATAAAATTTTATCTCAACACCACTGCCTTAACTGAACTTTTTCCATGGCATTATTTTCTGCTATTATTATCCATTGATGGAGGATAAGAAATAGCTTAAGTTTGGGGATTGATATCCCCATAAAAAGGTTGTATTTTTGTGCCTTTTTACTTAGGTTATTGTTTGTTTTAAGGCCCATATCATAGCATTTAGATTGCATTTAGGTCATATAGTTGCATTTGGAAGGTAAAGTCTTGTTGCAACATAAATTTATTAAAAATTGGTGCTGCAAAGGGAAAGGTCTTGCTTTTTGTGGTGTTGTGCAGGCAATGAAAACTTAAAGAGAAGATGTAGTCGTTATATCATGTTGGAGAAATTGCCGCTATACCATTCTTAGATAGAACGCTGAAAGACTTGTTGCATCGAAAGATGATAACAAATATGGAGCAAAAAGACAAAATAGAAAAAATATCTTTGCCAAGCTATCCAACCACACATGACTACCCATGCTTTAGAATTTGAGACCACCTACCACAATAACCGCCTATCCACATGAGAAATTTTGAGCCCAAAATCCTAGAAATGTTCCCTTTATAAATACTAAGGTACCCTATATTTTTATGAGAGCATTTTGGGAGTGACCTAAGAGAGAGGCAACTACACGTTTTCATTTCCTTCTTCTTTTTTCATCCCTTTTCATGGTATCCCTAGACCTCCAGAGAGTCTAGCTTGCTAGGGAGATGCATAATGGTAGGGCTAGGCAGCTCATTTGGAAATCTTTCTTCTCCTTGTGCTTTATTTTCTATCTTCTTGGGCTTGTACTAAACTTGGATATTTTTTGATGAACTTAGCCACACTATGTATTACCTTATTTGGCGTTGGATTTATGTTAGGTGATTTTCTTTTATGTCAATGGATGGTTTGGATGTTTTTATGTTTAAATGATGTTTTGCTCATTGTTTTTATCTTTATGCGAAGTAGCATTGTAAGAGCTTTTGAGAGATTTTTGTTTTCTGTAAAGTAATATGCTTAGTCTTGTAAGAGAGATCGTCATTTTCTAAGTATAGATACCTAGTATCGAGAGAGCTAGGTTAGATCTATGTGAGCAAGGGAGCCAAACCAGAATGGGGAGGTTCTAACTTGCCTTAGAGATAATGAGAGGGTTTTATTCGACTAAAATGGATAGGACTTAGTCGATAGTCTAGTGTTGCAGTTTACGCTGAGACGTACTACCGTAGCATTAGTTTTATCATGTTTCTTACTTGAGAGAGTTTATGAGCATATTTAACAAATCATGTTGGGTAGCATACTCATAGAAGCAGAGATCATCCTTATAATAGAATATTATTGCCATAGCAAATCCATGCCATTTATCTATAGAAAGGCTCGATTGTGTGAGGTTGTCAGTCTTATCTCATTTCCCATAGTTCAATTTATTTTATTGCTTTAGCATACTTTTGCGATTTACTTAAATTCTTGCCTCAACACACTTTTATAATTTCATCAATTTTCACCACAACAATTTCACTCTTCACTCCATTCTTGCCACAGTATTCCATCACCATTAACATATCATATGCCACAACTATACTTTCATTTGTTTATACCATCATAAATATATACTTAGATTTATTTAGTTTTAGATTTAGTTCATGACAACCCTTATTTGTTATAACTTGTTTTTAAAATACCTCCAATTCCTGTATAGTCGATACTCACTCACTATTGTATTACTTGTATTGATTGGGTATACTTTGTGTTCCACATCACAATACATTTACATGCGATCAAGTTTTTGGCGTCGTTATGGGGGATTGACAATATATTAATTTTTTAAAGTTAGTTATAGTAAAAGTTTTTGTTTTTAGTTTTACTTGTTGCATTTGTTTATTTCTTTTTCATGTTTTGTTGTTGCATGACTCGAAGGACTGTCGAGGAACCACTATATCCTCTAATTCTAAAAATCAAGCATTTATTCTGTCGAAGACAAGGTATTCAACGTGTTAATCGAGTCATGAATAATCAAGCAAACCAAGGTGTTCAGCGAGTTCAAGATCCTGCAGATCCAAATGTTGCAACATTTAGGAATGAAAGACTTGTGACGAACTCGAGAGCTATTCGATATCATTTATATCCTTTTTTAGACAATCTCAACCTAGGGATCATAACACCCAAAATTTAGGCAGCCCACTTCGAGCTTAAAATGGTGATGTTCAACATGTTGAACTTGATAGGACAGTTTGGTGGCATGCCTAATAAATATGCAAGGCAACACATCCGAACTTTCTTGGAAGTTTGTGACTCATTCACATAGCAAGGAGTGCACGAAGATGTGCTAAAGCTAAAGTTGTTCCCCTGTGACCAAGCAAGAGCTTGGTTTACTGGAGTTTCATCCGACTCGAAGGAGACCTGGGCTAATCTTTGTAAAAGCTTTTTGATGCATTATAATCCGCCCAACATGCACACTTAACTTTGAAATGACATAGAAAGTTTTCGTTAAGCTAATGAAAAATCAATGTATGAGTGTTAGCATCGTTATAAAAGTTTTCTTCACAAATGTACTAATCATGGATTCCACGACTGGACTCCAGTCATGATGTTCTATAACGGAGTCAATGCACCCACTCGCATGATGTTAGATGCTTCATCAAATGGTACTTTACTTGACAAATCACTCGAATAGGCCTTTAACATGCTTAATAATATAGCCAACAATGACTATCAATTTTCCTCTTTAGGGCTTGGAACTGGAAGGAATGCACATAGGACATTCGAGTTAGATGCTAAGGATCAGTGTTTGCCCAACTTTCTGCCATAACAAATATGAAGAAAAATTTGCAGCGTTCTAGTGAGGTGAAGGAAGTTAAGATGGCCAGTTCTACATGCTTCTTATGTCGTGGTAGTCACCATGAGAGAATGCCTAGAAAATTAAGAATCTATCAACTACGTGGGGAATTTTAATCGAATCAACAATAATCCCTATTCTAACACATACAACCTAGGATGACTTCAACATTCTAACTTCTCATGAGATAATAAAGGGGCAAACAACAATAACGCATGCAACTTGAATAGGCCACAACAAAATATTATTGAACCTATGGGATTTCAGCAAGAACATTCGCCGTGGAAGAATATTAACAATGGTTCATATTCTACTTAAAATTTTAATTCTCTTGAAGCTAGTGTTCAGGATTTCATGGTTTCAGCAAAAGCTTTATTAAATGACCATACATCGTCAGGGAACACTTTTGCATAATCAAGCTGCTTTGTTGCAAATTCACAGCTCATCTTTGAGATCATTGGAGAACCAAGTGGGCCAAATCGCTACAACATTATATGCTCGCCCATAAGGTAGTCTCTCTAGTGATACTGAGGTCACTAAGCCTCACAAAAAAGAGCAATGCAGTGCGCTCACACTGAAGAGTGGTACCCAACACAATCAAGAAAGCAAGTCTGGGGGAAATAAGAAAATTCTCACCCTAGCATTATGCAAGAAGAATATGAAGAGTAACCAGAATCTGAAGTGAAAAAAGAATCACCTATGGAGAAGGACAATGATGAGGGCTCAACTAGTCACTCTACTGATGGAAGAGAAACTAATGTCACAACAAAATTTCTTCCCCCACCTGCAGGAGAAGAAGTCAGACCCACCCTTCCCTCAAGGACTTAAGAGGCATAAAGAAAACATCCAATTCAAGAAGCTTGTTGACATCTTTGAACAATTATACATCAATGTTTCACTCTTGGAAGTCATTGATCAAATGTCAACTTATGCTAAATTTCTCAAAGACATCGTCACAAAGAAGAGAAAGGTAGAAAAGCTTGAAACTATCACCAAGTGAAAGAATATTGTTCTTCACTGAGTAAACTTCAGCCGAAGTGAAAAAATCTTGGTAGATTTGTTATTCCATGTTGTATCAATGATAAATATGTGGGGAGAGCTCTATGTGACTTTGGGTCCAGTACAAATTTGATGCCCAAGTTTGTGTTTTTGAAGCATGAAATGGGTAATGTTTAACCTAATACCGTGATCCTACAACTAGCTGACTGATTTCATGTCCGTCTCGAAGGCAGAATTGAATATGTCTTAGTAAAAGTTAACAAGTTCGTATTTCCTCTTGATTTTCTCATTCTAGATTGTGAGGCTGATGATAATGCGCCCATAATTCTGAGGCATCATTTTCTAGCTACTGGTCGTATTCTCATCGATTATGAGAAATGAGAGTTCACCATGCGAGTAGCTGATCAGAGTGTCACCATCAATGTATTCAACACATTGAAGTATGTAGATGACTCGGAAGAATGCCAAAGTGTATTGGATGTGGACTCAATGGTAGATGATGAAGCTACAGAGTTCTACTGCAACAACTTTTTATAGCTTGAAGACTATGAAAAGCTCACTAAAGATAAAGGCATTAAGGAGCCCGGAGATTTTTCTTCAGAGGTGCAGTAGTCTAGCTTACTTTAGCTAGACTAGGTACGCGATTTGAACCTTTAGATTTTGATGAATTTGTTTCCCCAAAACCTTCGCTACAACATGCATCTACCTTAAAACTGAAACCTTTGACATCACATTTAAAGCATGCTTATCTTAGTAGTAATGATACTTTGCATGTTATAATAATTGTTAGTCTAACCACTGAGCAAGAATACAATTTAATAAATTTCTTAGCACAACATAAGAAAGCTCTAGGTTGGGTTATGGCATATTTAAAAGGAATAAGCCCTATAATCTACATGCAGAAGATTTAGCTAGAAGATTGCCACAACAATTATGTTGAACCACAATGAAAATTTAACCCCGTAATGAAAAAAGTGGTGATGAAGGAGATCGTCAAGTGGTTGGATGTTGGTGTGATTTACCCTATCTCCAATAGTTCGTAAGTCAACCTGGTGCAATGTGAGCAACAAGGAGAATGAGTTATTATCGACGAAGACTATCACGGGTTAGAGGATTTATATTGACTACCGAAAGCTCAACAAGGTGACTAAGAATGACCATTTTCCCATCCACTTCATCGATCAGATGCTAGATCGATTGGCGGGCAAGTCCTTTTACTTCTTCCTCGATGGATACTCAAGGTACAATCAGATTGCCATAGCACCAGAATGTTAGAGTATGCCCAAAGGCACATCATACAATGATTGTAATAATACATTTGTTTATAGATTTTATTGAATGAAGGCAATGCCACTATTATTTTTAGTTATATGTATGTGTTTAAAATAAACTAAAATATAATAAAGTCCATATAATAACATTATTATTATTAAAATATCCATAGTCAATTATTATTATGGGCATAGACAATAATGATACGCTTAAGACTAATATGTTATTGATTGATAACGAGTTGTCATTGACATAGGGATGTCAGAATTGATACATGATTATATTGTTAGAGAACAATGTATTGGATTGACCCACCATGAGTATATGTCTTGGATTATTATGTAACAGTTATAACATTGCTCATGGTGATGACTATATGTATGATCCTCAGACTTGAGATCAATGTTATTCTAACATATATTGTTGTATGTTTTGATACAATTAAACATGCTCCGTAATTGGTTGCACTATAAAGATTGTTATTGAATATATCTCGATATATGTAGTGGGTGCGTATGATTAAGATATGATTTGTCCTTCCTACATGATAGGAAATATATCACAGGCCACTTGATTGAGTGAGACTAGAAATGCATGGCTATGCTCGAATAAGTTGATATGAGATCACAAATTATTCATTAATTATAGTTTACTCTAAATATCAAGAAATAATATGGGTTATACAAGTGTGACTATTCCAAGACTAGTGCCTATTCTAGATATAAAGGACAAAATGATGTAATACATGAAGGAGCTAATCACGAAGGTGATATGTTGAATCATAATTTCTTGTAACTTAGGTGACAATGATATATTGCTAGATGTCACTCATTGTATGTAATATTAGAATTGTCCTAATAATTACTACTAACGTTACAATAACCTACAGGGTCACACACTAGGATTGAAATGAGCAAATATATACAATTTGTTGTATGTTACTAAAATATATCTGGAGTTAACATATGTATATTTGATATACATAGGATTTTCATTATCCCGAATATAATAAGTAAACATTAAAAAATGTAATTTTGATTACAACTATTTTAATCGATATTTAATTCGGAATAATTAAATGAGAGTTTAAATAAACATTAAATATTATAATTCAGATTATAAGTCTTTAATGGATATTTAATTTGAATTAATTAAATAATTTTTTTATTAATTCGATAACTTAAAATCCCTAAGAGGTTAGGTTAACTGATATATTTAAAGTGAGGTAAGGTCTAGCAGCCACTTATTCTTCTTCAGCAGTTTTTCTCAATTATTTTTTGGGAAAAGTAAATTTTGCTCTCAATCTGGTGAACTAAGTAGAGGTTGAGACGTGTTTTCGTGGAGGCTTATGATTCGAACCGTTCGTGATCACCATTAGTCGCTGTTGCCTTTCCTGTTTCTCAAGGAACCCATTATAAGTATTCGCATCCTTTCCTCCCAATTTCAATTTTTCTGTACTTAGATCGCTGGTGATATTGTGAGTTTTGTTTTCGCTACGCCATAGGGTGCGTTTACGGTCCCAACACAAAAGACCAAGAGAAGACCTCCTTCACCTGCCCTTATGGTATGTACGCCTTCAGAAGGATGTCGTTCGGACTATGTAAAGCTCCAGTAACCTTTCAGAGGTCATTTTTCAGATATGGTAGAAGACTTCTTGGAATTATTTATGAACAATTTTTCTGTCTTGGGTGATGATTTTGACAAATGCCTTGGCAACTTGGCTAAGGTACTGAAGAAATGTGAGAAGGCCAATCTAATTCTAAACTGGGAAAAATTCCACTTCATGGTGACAGAAGGAATTGTGTTGGGGCATAAGATTTCACAAAAGGGAATTGAAGTTGATAAAGTCAAGGTTGAGGTGATCAAAAAATTGCCTCTACCCACTAACGTGAATGGTATAAGGAGTTTTTTGGGGCATGCAAGATTCTACATGCATTTCATCAAAGACATCTCAAAAATTTTGAAGCCTCTTTGTCTTCTTCTATAGCAGAATCAACCATTCCTTTTCGACAAAAAGTGTTACAGTACGTTTACAGAGCTGAAGGAAAGACTTGTCACAGCGCCTATAGGTGTCCCTCCTGAATGGATAGCTCCCTTTGAATTGATGTACGATGCAAGTGACTACACAGTGGAAGCAATGCTTGGGGAAATGCGAGGTAAAGTTTTCCATGTAGTTTATTATGTTAGTCGCACACTGAACGAAGCACATATAAACTATACAACCACTGAAAAAGAATTACTTGTCGTGGTGTTTGCTTTTGATAAGTTTAGTTCATACTTGATAGGCACTAATGTCATTGTGTACACCGATCACTCAGCCATTAAATACTTAGTGAATAAAAAGAATGCCAAACCTAGGCTTATTAAGTGGATACTTTAGTTGTAAGAATCTGATTTAGAGGTTAAAGATAGAAAATGAACTGTAAATCAGGTTACTGATCATTTTTCTACGTTAGAAAATATAAATGAATGCCATGACAATCTAGAAATCAAGGAGGAATTCCCTTACGAATTTTTTTTATCTTTTGTGGCATGCCTGTGGTATGCTACATAGTTAACTTTCTTGTTAGTAATATTTTGCCTCATGATTTAAATAGCCAGGGCAGAAGGAAGTTCAGACATGATGTGCGACACTACCAGTGGGATGAGCCCTATTTATTCAAGCAATGTGTTGACCAAGTGATTAGGAGGTACGTCCCTAAAGAAGAGCAATAGGATATTTTATTCTATTTCCACAACGCACCTTGTGGAGGCCATTTTGAAGGTGTTAGGACTGTTGCAAAGGTCATACAGTCTGCATTTTATTGGTCCACACTTTTTAAGGATGCACACGAGTTCTACAAGTCGTGTGATCGATGTTAGTGCACTAGGAATTTTTTGAAGGGACATGAAATGTCATGGCAGAACACTTTGGAAATAGAGCTCTTTGACATATGGGGAATAGATTTCATGGGACCCTTCCCATCATCCTTTGGAGATCTTTATATCCTCTTGGCGGTGGACTATGTGTCCAAGTAGGTTGAATTCATAGCAACACCAAGAAATGACTCAAAAATCGTGCTCAAATTCCTTCACAAAAACATCTTCACATGATTTGTAGCACCTAGAGCCATTATAAGAAATGAAGGCACCCACTTTGACAAAACAATTGATTACTAAGGCATTGCAGAAGTATGGGGTATGATATAAAATTGTTACATCATATCACCCCCAGACTAATAGACAAGATGAAGTGTCCAACCGAGAAATCAAGCAGATTCTCGAGAAGATGGTGAACCCAAAGAGAAAAGACTGGTCGCCGAAGCTCGATAAGGTGCTCTAGGCTTATCGAACAACCTTTAAAACATAGCTGGGTTATGTCCACCTTCAAGGTGGTCTATGGAAATGATTGTCATCTCCCTGTGGAGCTAGAGCATAAGGTTTATTGGGCGATTAAAATGCTCAACATGGACGCCCAGTTGGCTGGAGAAAAAAGGTTTCTAGAGTTAAATGAAATGGAGAAATTCTTTGCCCAAGCTTATGAAAATGCCCGCTTGTACAAAGGAAAGACCAAACGATAGAATGAAAAAAATATTCTACCGTAGCAATTTCATGAAGACCAACAAGTCCTATATAATTCAAGGCTGAAGCTTTTTTTGGGCAAACGGAAGTCCCGATGGTCTGGACCATTCCAAGTGCATTATGTGTACCCACATGGAGCAGTAGACATTAAGAAACTGGATCGATTTTTAAGGTGAATGGCCAAAGCCTCAAGGTGAACAATGAAGCCCCAATCTTGTGAGACAAGTAAGCACTTATCCTCCATGATGTTTCAGAGTTTGCACTATATATCCCTTAAAATTTCTTCTGTATCATTAATTTTCGTAGTTTGTATATAAATAATTATTTTAACTTAACTGTTTCTTTTCTTTCCTTTTTCAGTTCAATTTTAACATTAGTTTGCTTTCTAGTTCATCCAAGGACATGTGACAGCATGGGGAGAAAGTTTAAAAGAGGACAAAAAGAAACCCTAGCAGATTTTTCGTCTAAGGAGGCAAGCGGCAAAAAGAGTGGAAACAAATCTCTTTTTATTATTTTATTATTTTATTTTTTCAAACTAACCAATCACATTCTAGGTAATTATTACCTTCTTTTTCTCTTTCCTACTTTTGCAATAACTCCCCTAAAACTACCCACTTTTTCTTTAAAATCGCCCATTCATTCTCTTTTTCTTCTTCACCTTGTTTTTATTTCTTTAAGTTTTCCCTCAACTTCTTCTCCACCCGATTTCTATAATAGCCACCACCTTCTTTTTTCTCACTTTTTATTCTTTCTATCGTGAAATCCCCATTGTCGTCGTAACAAAGTTTTCTTTTCTGTTTTCTTTTGTCATAGTTGAGATGGCCTAATGCAAGAATGTTTCTAGTGAGGTTCTTCCTCTCAACTGCCGCCATAAACCCTGATTAGAAATTTAAAGATGACGCGGCAGAGGGGAGATTTCAGCACATAAAAGGTTGGTCGGTATACTTGGAGCAGTGCTTTATTCTTCCAAAGGAAGGTGAAGAGCCTTTCCCTAAAGTAACTTCTGTTATAGCAAAAAAGCACCGGGAGGTTTTTGCTCAGCATCCGGGGGATGTTGCCTCAACCATCTTGAGTACGCTCACCACACTAAACTATAAAGCATGGAATCTGGGTGCGAGAGGATGAAAGTACTCTTCACATCAACTGTCATCAACCGTTTCTTCAAGCTGAAGGACGTGCCCAACCAACATGCATAATTTTTTGTTGAGGCGGACGTTGAAACCTACATGGGGGTCTTGGAGGATTTATGCTTTCAAGGGTCGCAGTGGCAAGATGAAAACCCGAGCAAGCGGAGAGTGGAAATGCGTTGTCTCAAGCCTCAAGCAAAGTTATGGAATCACTTCATTAAAACTCGATTAATGCCTACATCACATCATACAACTATCTAGTTGCAGCGGATGCTTCTTTTGCATTCCATTATTTTTTAGCATCCAATCAATATTGATGAGGTCTTTGTCCAACAAGTTTATGACTGTCTCAAACGAAAAAAAATGAGACGTTGATCTTTCCAAACTTGATCACTGTCATATGCAAAAAGAAGAAGGTGGTGGGGGTATGTTCAAAGCCAACATCCCAACAAAGGTTGGCATAACTATGAAGTTGATTTTGAAGCTGATGGGTTTTGATGAGGATGGTCCCAAAGAGATCCTCGAAAGAGGTGCAAAAACTATTGTCGCTGCAAGAATAATTGCCATAGTGACCTCCTCGTAAGAAACTAAGGAACGAGTAGAGAGGCTGGAGACCAAGATGCACACCTTCTTCAACTATGTGAGGCAAAGGGATGCGGTTATGTCCTCCTTTTCAAGGAGATGTTGCTTTTGAACACAGATAATTTCCCTCATTTTCCTAAAGACATTTTAGAGGAGAAAAATGTTACTGCAACATTTCCTGATCAAGCCCTGCAAGATGCAGACCGTCAGACCAAACAACCGACTGCCCCACCCGCTGAAGCCGAGTATTCTGATGAGGATAACAACCGACTAGCCCATAGAGCCATAAGACATTGAGTCGCTTGACACCTTCCCCTAGTCCGACGTTGAGGTTGAGGAGATTCTTTCTCCAGGGCAACAAACTCCCGCCCATCCTGTTGATGTTGAGAAGACCAATGAAGAAGCAGTTTCCGACTCTGCTATTGATACTGAAGAGATCCCGCCCTATCCTGTACAACCACAACCTATAGAACGGCGCCTGACCAGACATCACTTGAAATGAGCCCCCTGGCATGCAGTTAAAACTTATGTTGCAGCATCTAAGGTCGTAATTCCAACCAAGACCACCCAGTGCATAGAACCAGAAGAATCCAACCCAAAGTGAAGACGCACCAGGCGTATTGGCGACAAGATACCACCACAACGAGGTACCTCTCGTATAACTTCCTAAGATCGTACCCTTGATATAAAATCTTGCGTATCAAACTGCTTTTGATATAAACTAATACTTCATTGCACAGCAGATGAGTTCAAATGACCTAATGCAAAGGCTTAGATATTGTTGTATAGAAATAGTAGAAATAACCCCCCAACAGCTGTGGATTTCGATAAAACATTGTTGCGAGACTTGTTATTCGATCAAAGTTCTGCTAAAGTATTTTTCCAAAAAAAAGAAAAGAAATAAAAAACATATTTTCTTACCATTTTGTGATTGTAATTTCAATTGCTAAAGGATGTTAAAACAATTTTCTTCACAGGACATTGCCTTGGCATCGATATCAATGAGACTGATCCCATTGGGGCCGGTTCTAGAGAAGCTTACTCTTTCCGACACGAACTACGGCTCGATCCGACGATTCTATATAAAAACTCAAGAAGACTGCCATTTCCATGTATTTACAGGAGGCAATGATCGAATCCAATCCACCAGAACGAGTATTCCGGCTCAAGGGATTCGATCATCCCCCTTTTTTCTCAAGGGCTGCATAAGATACTTGTGGAAATAGCTCAGTTTCACCAAAGCAGACCTCTAGTAGTACAACTGAGCTGAGGCATCTTTTGGAAAATGATACGTTGTGAACCTCAACAACTGAGCTTAATAATTAAAAACTAATTTTAGGTTTCTTCAGATTCCAGAAACTCTATTTTAACCCATATCCTGTTTTCAGCTATTGTTCAACTTAGGGATGAAAAAATATTTGAATTCGACGATGTCTAACCTAATATGATTCAATGAGATCAACTTTTCTTGAAATTGAATTTCATGGCGAATTTACTTTTTTTTTGTCGTGAATTTTAGATCACGAATAAGTTGAAAAAACATTTTAAAAAAAAGTACAATTCATCATTCAAGCATAAAAAATTAGTGTTTAAGCTGTAAAGTTTCATTATATCTTGTAAAAACACTTGTGAGTTTAAATGTTTATTTGGGTTGAGCTTAAATGTGTTAATGATGATTACTCTTTGTTTACTAAATTTATATTTCTCTTTTTTGAGAGAGGTTTGAGCTTAAGATTTGGGTAGAGATGTTTAAGTGCTTCGTGTTAAGGTTTCGGGTTAAACACTGCCGTCAAAAGGTTCAAATTCAAGTTAGTGAATTTGGAAAAAAAATCTTTAGTGATAGTATGTTAAACTATTCTAAGTTATTGTGTCTCATTGTTTTTATTTTTCTTTTCAACCGCCATAATTTTTAAAACTCAATTCACTCTTTCTTGATATTTTGTTGATCAATCAAGCTAATACTTTTCGAGCTGTGTACTTAGATGTTACACGTCATGATCTCCACATTTAACATCATTTAACTTCAAATTTTATTTTTCATATAGAACTGAAAGAAAAAACCCCTGCTTTAATGTTTTTATGCTTAACTATCAGTTTTTTTTATAGGTTGATTAGTTATTTATTTCACAAGAAATTTTTAATTTGTGTTGAGGGACTGATAATGAGAACTAAACTGAAAGCTGATCATTGTTTCCTTTTTAAAATTGAGGATATTTACGTTTCAATGTTTTTGGCTTTTGAAAAGTATGATGGGGCAAAATTTCAAAGTATCTATTTTGACTACAACTTCCATGAAAATTTTAGTTTCCAACTCTGTTTACCTACTATATTGTGTGTGAAGTTTAATGTATTTCCAAGTTGTAATGATCTTTGTTTCAGCTGCCAGAGAGATAATTATGAGGACATTGTATTCTTTTGTGTTAATGGGACTTCCAAGAACCACTTATTTCATCTTATGAATCAGTTTCTTGAACTAAAATGGGATAAATGAATCCATATTTAAAAGAATGCCTTTTGTGTTTATTAGTTTTTAAATTGATTTAGAAGTTCGTATATTAACTAACCAGACAACGCAGAAAAGAAGAAAAATTGAGAATTACAAAATTTGTAGTCGGTTTTCTTCCTCATTTACGTCATGGGTTGAGCCACAATTCTATGTATGTGACCGATCAAAAACAATTTTGATCGAATATATGTGGCCAATTATAACTTGGTTATATCAACTGTAGTTACACGTTTAAACACAACAATGGATCATGGAAGAGTGAACAGATAACAAAAGGCTTACTAATCCAAATGCTTATTTTCTATTCTTGTTTGTTGTGAAAATAAAGGAGCAACTGACCGTCACCCGAAGCTACAGCCACAACGTTTGGCCTCCATTCCTCATCGGTTGCAATACACGAAACACTGCCACCTGAGTCCAAACGCAATTACTCAGTCAAGTATAAAAAACTTATCTATCCAAAATAATCACAGCCTACCAAACGAATTCTTCATAATTACAACTTACACTCATCGGTTGCATATTATCCAAGGTTTGAATGTCAAACTCCATGTACTTCTGTTTAATCTTACTCATAATTGCTAATCCGACAATTTATAAAAATAGAATAAAATAAATTTTTTTAGCTTCTTACATTTACAGTTTTTATCAATTTGACGACTAATATTTAAGAATAAATTAAAGTATAATCGTTAATTGAATAATACAATTTTTCAATATACTTTTATAGCTTTTTTTAGGGTCAGATTGATAGAAATTGTAAATGTAGAGGAATAACACAGTTATTTTGGCTTTTGATAGCTACCAAGTTGAGGGTCCAAGATTTTCAAATAAAAAATAGTACAGGGACCCAATTTAAAAAAAATAAAGTATATGGACTAAATTGAAATAATACGAGAACCTTTGGCATATTTAAACTCATCTAGTTATAAACAGTCGGGTATAGAAATATGAACCTCTTCAAATCCTTGATGTATATTTAAAAAAAAATTAATATAAAGACATGCCGAGTAAATCGGTGAATAGGCTTAACTTAAAGTGGATTACGTACCTTTAAAATGATGCAAAACGTTAAGTCTAGTTCCGGTGGACAGTTCCCACATATACACTAAACCATCATCCCTTCCCACGATCCCGTGATCAAGTGATGCACCAACTGCAGCAGCCCTGTACAATCAATTTCAAGATTTATTGTTTTGCACATTTGGTTGGTAAATTGACACAATAGTAATCTAGAGCTTTCTCTATATGAACACAACAGCACAACTCCGTTTCTATTTGACCTTAGGAAAGCGAAAGCCTAGTTTATGTATAAGATGTAGAATAGAACTTTAAAGCACCTTGGATCTATTGTACTCCCCAAAATCACAGTGTCCTTCACCAACAAAGCTAGCCTCCATCCGGTTGTATTTGCTTGGCAATTACTTGATAAATGTTCATGCTGAGCATCAGAAGTAGTCGAGACAAGAAGCCAGATCGCAACATCTTCCCCCTCCAATGGAAGAAAAGTGCGATCCTTATGTTCAGAAAACCAAAATTTTGTTTCTGCGATGATTTGATCATTGCACCCTTTCATATCAGCATAGCTGAATACATGCTGCCAACTAAGTAAACTGATTGGTATGAATTGCTTAATTGGATCGTCAGAACTAGAGAATCTTGAGATACTGACCCGTTTCATAATATCCCTGAGAAGTAAAACCTATTTTCTATCAGTAAATAATCAGGTTTCATGAGGAGGAAAACACAAGAAAGCCCCTTTGAAGCCATACAGCTTATGCGCAAATCATGCATAAAAGATATAAAAGATCAATACCTATTAATATTTCCACAATGCTACCCAGCAATTAGTGAAACCATCACTCAGAATCACCAAACAGTATAAAAGAATATAATTTTCAAGCAGAAAGCAACTTACCATAATATAAAATCCCCAAAACCATTGTGTCCGATCACCAAATGAACACACTTTGGAATTTTCTTCAGCTCCACTACACAAGATATGAAGTCGCCAGCGGGTATAATAAATTCTTCAGTCCATGCACTGCAAAAAGCGGACAATATGGGTAAAATTGCATGATTCGTTAAGAAAAATTATGCTAGAGAACATATTTGAAGAGGATCAGAAAGAGAAGGGATAAAGTTTCCACTATCTATTTTCAAATTATATAAAGCACACGCTGACAGTCTGCAGTATAATAGGTTCGCTGCCACAATATGGAATCTATGCTTAAAACCACGAACTAGGCACTTCTCCAAATAATAAAAGGAAGACCTTACCATCCCCCTATAAGAATAAAGAGGCAAAGTTTGTATAGAAAGCATGACAAAACATTCACCTCCATGTTGAATTCATGACCCAAAGATGCAGTCTCCCACTCTTTCCAGCAGCTAGCAGATAGTCATTTTCACAAACCAATATACATTGCACACTTTGAATTGTCTCCACCTTTGCAACCAAAGAAACATAACCAGAATTTACTCGCACAATTTTTACTGCGTTCTCCTTCGGGCAGCCTGAAAGACAAATTGGGCAGATACAATCTCTTCTCCCTTCCCTAAGAAAATAAATCTGATATTAGTAAAATATTTGTTTCAAAACTGTTTGACGTGATAGAAACCCAGAGAAACAGTTAACCTGCAATAAGGTGTTTTAATGCTATCAAGTAAAACAAGACACTGCCCGCCTGGGTTGAATTGTAAGCCGCGTCTTTCTACATCAATCTAGGAAAGAAAAAATATTCAAAAATTTCATCAGTGACTATGTAAGAAACAAGTCAAGGAATCAATAAGTACAAGAGAAATAGCTGTGAAGAGTTAATATATAAAAACATAAATGTCCACCAAAGCTTACTTCGGAAGATGGTAATGCTACAGATGTGTAACCAACAAAAGAAGGGCATCCTTTCCTTTGTTCTTCAGTTGTCACCTTGTAGACAAACAAGGTTCTGTCCCTATCTGCAAGAAGACCACAGGAAACACAAATGTGGATTTCTTCTCCTTTTGTACCCAGTAATACTGATAAAATAGGCAAAGGAAGGCAATAGCGTCCTACAGGGTTGAAAATGCCCTTTAGGTCACTAGTATGCTCTACACCCCTATAATCGTTGACATCTGAACTACCTTGAACTCCCATTGATATAGTTAAGTTCTTGTCACAAAAACTAGTCATCTGGTTTTGACATGATGCGGAACAGCCGTTTTCTACAATAGTTCTATGTTCAAGCCTCTCCTTGTGACAGTTTTCTTGAAATATCCTTTCAAGTGAAACAGATGGATCAAGTAAGCAAGATGCATCCTTTGCTTTAGAGACACAAGTCAACTTTTGGACTTCATTGGATAGAGAAGGTGTTATGTTACTGATTTCAGGGTTGCAATTTGTAGTAGTTTTCTCCTCATCAAGCATTGGTGTATTACCCAGGATATTTCTGCTGCATGGTTTGTCATCAGAAGAATGACAACTCTTAGAAACAAGTGAAGCTCCTGTCATAACAGACTTATTAGGGGCATAATCATCTCCAGAATTTCTGCATATGATACTTTCAGAGAGAGGAGCAGTGTAGTTTCTAGCTGAATGAGCTTGTTTTGAGACTTTCCTTCTGGTATATACTTTATTCTGTGTTTGATGAGAAGAGCTAGTACGAGGAGCCCTGGTTTCAGCCTCACTGTCCTTCCCTAATAATTTCAATGGAGTTTCAATTCCTCTTGAATTAATATCATCTGTATCCTCAACTGCAGAAACATGATTATTTATTTCAAATTGAAAGTCATAAAAAAACATGATTAACTGTCAAAAAGAATACAATTATCATGCAGTTCTACGTAAATGGACTACCAGGAATTCAGTAAATTGCATGGCATACAACTTCAAGAGCTGTATTTCGACAATGTACATTATATTTGAGTGACAGTTTCTAATGATGAAGATAATTTAGAATTTAAGTATAGGTTACAGGCTAGTAGGAAACTCGAAAGTTTTAATTCTGCGCAAGACTGATATCTTATCAATCAGTTTAGGAGATAGGCCTTGCCCTGTGAGGACTTGAAAGCAAATTTGACAACTAAAATTTCAAGGTTGGATGAATGTCATTACCTTCAGCACAGTTAAGTGCCTTCTTGGGCTTCTTCTCCAAAGCATGTTTTCCAGTATCTGCAGAGTTTTCATCCAAATTCACAGAAACACCGTGGATGTCTTCAGAGAGAGCTTTGATGATTGGAGACACACACCCTAAAACATACTCAGATTTGTTCACATCACTCTTCAGATGCTCTGCACAGTTACCATCCAAATTCACCGAAACACCCTGAATATCTTCAGAGACAGCTTTAATGATTGGAGACACACACCCTAAAACAGACTCACATTTGGTCACATCACTCTTCAGGTGCTCTTTATTTAAAGCCATGTTTACTTCCTTGTGGCAGATGCTATCTTGGATCCCACCGAGCTCACCACAATAAACTGATGTTTCCTGCTTCGGATTGATGCTAAGCCGTTCCTGAATGTTGGAATGAAGTGCATCTTTATTGAAACTAGTTCGATCAACCTTCATATGTTTTGAAAACAATATAGGTTGACTAGCTACATGATCCCCCTGACCATCCTCAAAACTGTCGAGAATAACAGAGTTCAAGTGTTCAAGATTTGGCACAACTAAACCATGGTCTAAACCTTGGATATGCGTTTGTGTATCATGTTCTGTACTTGCATCCTCAGTTGGACTGATGGCTGCAGTTTTAGTAGAAAAACTTATGAGCTAGCAGCAAGAAAAGGATTAATATGAAACTAGGGTCCTAGATGAACATGTTCAGATAAACTTCAAAATTTCTAAAGATTTGACGGTACCAAAAGATGGAAGGGCCAACAAATGGTTAGTTTCAATGGTGTCCTCTCGAGAATTCACCACGTGAGGCAATACTTTGCATGGGCTAAATGCTTCTTTTTTCTTCTTTGAAGACCTCTTAAGTAATGGAACAGCTTGTGGAAGTAAAACTGTCATCATCAGCTTAGTCATTTCCTGACCAACTGAATCAAAATCACTTTTTTCAGAACCTGTATTTGAATTAGATGTGCCTATTTCTTCTTCTTGATGAGACTCAGCCATGAAGCCATCAGAAATTACTACATCAGCAGCAGTTAACTCTACTTCCTTACTGTTAGTTGTGTCCCTTGCACCCAAAGCAACACTTGTCCTGTCATCTGCATAAATGTTGTGGCTAATTACTAATAAGGTGAATGTTCAGAATGGTAAATTATGAACAATGGAAAAGAAAACATGGGTAACAATGTAGTTAAATACTGCAGATAAGAACTACCTTCAAAATCCAAAGTATCTGGTGCGCAAAGATTGAAGTCATTTATGCCCATGGAATAAGTTGGAACTGATGAATCTCCATGGTTGTCATCTGTTTTTACTGGGAAACTGAATCCTTCCAGTACAGTATCTTGTGGCCTACATAACTGTATGAAGTTAAGAATGTTTCTAATATTATAGCAAGTAATGTTATCTGTAACTGCAGAACAAATACAACATTAACTGATTAAAGACCACGATTTCACATAATTAATTTGTCCCCTAATTGGAAAAGGATGATAATTCTGAGGAAATATCTATTAAAGCTAGGTCCAGATGGTAAGACTAATTTAAGCAATAAGTACCAAAATTTAGCAAGAAGATAGAGGAACATGTTTTCAACAAGATGTTCTTCTACAAAGGAAGAACCAAATGACAACAAAACATAATATCCAGTCATACCTCCTCATTTGCAATGTTAGCTACTCTAGTCAATTTTGCATTTTGGGAGCTAAAAAACTTGCTCTTGGCTTCGTTCTCACCATGATGACCCAAGAAATCAAGAAATTTCAATGGAAAACTATCTTTGGCTGGAGAGTTTTTCACATCTTTCCCCACTGATTTTGAGCGCAATCCTGATGCTTCTATAATTTTGTCATTTTCATCTTTTGAAGCAAAATGAGTTGCTGGAAACTCATGCTCATCTTTCACTTGGTTCCTTTTTACTAAATTTGAACCCTCTGTAACATAAATCAAGTCCATAGATCGGGGTCGTTTAAGGCCAGGACTGTCTGCCAACTTGCTTTTCGTTATTCCACACCTTGTACTTCTCTTTTTTCTAATCTGTGGCCTGGCCAAATATGGTAGTAATTCAGGAGCAGTACAGATAGTTGAGCTCCCATTGTCATTTTCCATTTTAGAAGCATCATTGCAGGAACTGGAAGATAACAAACTCCTTTCTGCTGTTCCATTGACATTTGCCACCAATTCCCGCAGCAACCTTTGAACAAATGGATTTTTGAATCCAAAAAACTGCATGTTACAACGCAACGAAAAACTCATTGGAATTATCTATACATCTCTTTACCTACCAAAAATTAAGAAACAAAATTTCTGACATTGAGCAAGTCAAAACAAATCAGCATCAAGTGGTCCAAAGAAGTACCACGAAAAACAGCCTAGTAAAAAGTTTTTTAAAATAAATTTATGGTATTTATGTATATAATAGGCACCAAAATCCGTAAAATGATTATATCGAGAACCTTTACTGCATAGGTTGCAAAGAATACAACAACCTAAGCAACCCAGGAAAAAAACTATCAAAGAGAAAAGATCAACTCAACTGCTCCACATCATGCAGCTTCAAACTGATGTCAGAACTTGAACTTTATCATGTTAATTACTATCCATCTAAGTGTCTCAGAGCCTAATATTTAAGGTAAATCCGTAAATATGAAAGAAAAAGAAAGTAATTTCTAGGATTTCCACGTGCTTACACATTCTTATCACTATGGCTAAATTTAGTTGTTTCCAGCACAGCCCTAGATCATCATGTTCTATTTTGGATAACCTCTTCTATAATAAATCATCCCTCTAGAGACCAACGTGAGGAGAGTTTTAAAATTGTGGTAAACAAGTAGGAAACAAGAAAAGAGAGATGAATTGTCATATTGGAGGAAAATGCTCCCCGGATACAAGATATGGTAACAAAATAAGAACATAAACACAGTAGCAGCAAAATCACAATGAAACTAAACTTATTAATAACAATGTCATTAACCAAAAAAGGAAAAAAATGCAGTTCAGAGTGTTAAGCACCAAGATGTACCTCCACACTGTCTATCTTGCATGAGAACCTCTTTCCATGCCATATCTTCAAATGTGAGCCACCCATCTTCTGAGATTTCTCCCATGCAATGTCTGGAGTTTGTCCAGAACACGATTGTCCATCACAAGAGATCTACATGCAAATAGAGGCACAGTTGTACTTAATTAACTAAAAAAAAAGTGACAAACGAAAACAAGATACAAGTGCTAGGTAAAACCTTCATGTCTGCTTACTCACCATAAACAAAGGCCCTTTAGTACCTTCATGAATTTCTGTCTTATAAGTGCTTCCATTGTGAGCCCTAACAGCTTGATATCCAACAGGATAAGGATATCGATCTTTGCCCTACAGATTAACAAGGTTAGATGCACTTAAATGCAAAACATTAAATCATACCGATTTACTCAAATTTCTAGCTGTTAGTTCAAAATTGACTTTTAAAATTGCTGAAACTTGTAAGAGTCTAAGCTTCGGAGTTCCAATGTCTCATTGACAAATTCACACCGTAAGTACATAAAATTACAACTACTGGCATCGGCAAGGGATCAGAGTTCATTATTTTTCGTTAAGTTATTCGGCAAATAAATCAATTCCAGGTAAAATAAATTATAAAAGAATAAACAAATCAAGTAAGGATGAAAATATCAACTAAATTGCAAATAAAAAAACAAACGAACCCTAGAGGAGCTCCAATACTTCTTCTCCCAAGGGCCTTTGTACAGAGATCCGATGGAGACGATCTCCAGATCGTCGGATTTTGGTGCTGCTGCTCCTTTTGTTTTCGGCATTCAAAAATATAGTGAAAAGGGAAAAGAAATAATAGGGTAGTAACGAGGATTTTCGAGAAGATGGCTTAAAAATGGCGGGATTTGAATTATCGAAATCCGTTGTTTCCCTCGACTTCCCAACTGAAAAAATAAAGACATTTTGAAATTAAAAATAAGGCCGTTGCCGGGCATCTACCCCGGGTCCTCGTGTGACGGGCTGTAACCCCTGGACCCGATTTAATATTATGCTCAAATCTAGACGGTTACATATTTTATTAAGAGATTCTTTTCATTTTAAAAAAACATTAAAATTCATAAGAAAAATTCATATGATAAACATATATGTATATATATGTCATAAAATTATATAAAATATATACATATCAAAATACCGATAATACAGATATATCAAGACAGTAGCAAAAACACGTCACCAAAATATAACAGAAAGACATATAGAGATATACAATAATACAAAGGTAGGAGTAATCGATCCTCTTGATGCCAAGTCTACTAGCCTAAAGGTCTGCTGCTATCTGAAAGGTTTAAAATTTACAGAATGAGCTAAAAAACTCAATGTGCTCTTTACATTGTATAAAAACATACAAATAAAATACAAGTCTGCTAGCCTAAAGGTCTGCTGCTATCCGAAACATGCGAAAGATAGCTTTATTAGTGGCGTCCTCATCTATGTCAGTATCTTCGTCCTCAGTGATGGGAGGATCTATCGCACGAGTAATCGAGTCATCATGAGAAATAGACGGATCTAAATGTGGAACATGAAGATCTCGTGGAAACATAGGATCATCTATCGTAATAGAAGGTCGAGTCACTCACCCTCAACCACGGCCACGGCCTAACCTACGACCTCTAGCAACACTCATCGGATAAATCTATAAGGCTCTACAGAAAGATTTTGAACCTAAGTCAGACTAGCATCAGGAATCTTAAATTATTTAAACTCATAAAATAAGGTGACACAGTTTTTGAAAATATCAAAATATCTTGAAAATCCAGATTTTAGGACTCATCCACAGTCCGAGTGTTTAAAATTAAAAGCTCTGATACCACAAAGTGTAACCCCCTAAACCCGACTTAGACGTTATGCCTACATCTAGGCGAATGCATATCTTATTCAGAGATTCTTTTTATTTTTAAAATAACGTTTAAATCCATAAGAAAGATTCATACGATAAACATATATGTATACATATGTCATAAAACTGTATAAAAATATACATATCAAAATATTGGTAATACATATATATCATGACAATAGCAAAAACACGTTACCAAAATATAACAGAAAGGCATATAAAGATATACAATAGTACAAAGGTAGGAGTATTCGATCATCCTGATGCCAAGTATGCTAGACTAAAGGTTGATGTTATCTGAAAGGTTTAAAATTTACAGAATGAGCTAAAAAGCTCAGTGTGCTCCTTACGGTATATAAAAACATACATAAAATACCTTAGTATAACTTAGTTCATCAAACATGCTTTAAAAACATAAACACTACCCCGTCCGATAACCAGAATGTATAGGTTTCCCAGAACCATACAATCACATATACACTCAGTAAGGGTTTACCCTGTCCACAAAACAGAGGATCATGCAGTAAGGTCTTATCCTATACACAAAGAGATGAGCCTGCAGTAAGGACTTACCATGAGCACATAGTCGAGGAGCCTGCGGTAAGGTCTTACAAGTCATAGACTATACCTAAGATAATTCCTCTAATAATACCCCCAATGACAGAAATAACATGTATGTATTTGAATTAAAGTTTAATCCATTAAAACATGAAAATATTCCATTTTAAAAAATAAGATACGAAACTACGGTAATCCAGAGATCATATAAGAAATATACAGTAAATAAGATATCAGATAAACTGTGTTCAGAAAATCAGGTATTGTGTTTTAAAAATATTTAGTATTATAAAAAATCTAAAACAATTTAGACAAATAGTTGAAAACAATAATGTAACACCAACATGAAACACACATGTATCGATCTGAGTAGTCTGATAGGGAAGCTTACTACTGAGTCTTTCGATCACGATCAGCGACAATGCTAGATCCTACTAATCGAAAAATCCATATTCAGAATCCTAATATGAATAATATTAACCTTTGTTTAAATAATTTACGGAAACCTACGAGTAACTCTCGTAGAACACAGATCGAGCGGGTTTGACGAACGGGAAACACCAGATCTAATCGACCATCGGTCGGGTGAAACACGAGTATCGTCATAAAAATATCTTCTTAGATCAATTCCATAACCATATCTTAAATAAATAAGCAAAAATGCTAAAAAAAATACTAAGTATTTTTGGGTTAACAAGCTCGATCAGGTCTTTCAGGTCGGAATTTGGCAAAACGGATCGCAGAATCAGACTCAGGACGTCGAAAAACACAAAATATGACTTTTCAAAAATTTTAACTTTTCGAAAATTTTGACTTTTTGGTCAAAGTCAACGGTTAGACCATGTCGGGTCGAACACGGGTCAGCGGGTCGTATCAGTGAGTTGGGTCAGATCAGCCAAATTCCAAGCATTTCCCCATGCGGTGGGCTTTTCCCCTGAATAGGGACAGCACGTGGGGGCGTGTACGGGGCTGTAGGGGTTTAAAAATATTAAAAAAATCCTAATTGCATTTTAGGGGTTTTGAGACGCTTACCAAGCTCGGTTCACAACAATGAACAGCGGAGAGCTCGATTTTGAAACGTCGAAAACTTAATCTTTTTCACCCCTTCACACGTCGGCAGCAACGGAGACAAAGTGGACACCTTAGGACTCGGGACAATACAATGAACACGATGGTACGAGAGGTATCGAAAATGGAACAACAGTCAACGACGAATATGCGATAAAATGTTTCATTCTATAAGAGGAAATGTTTGAAAAGAGATAAAAATTAGTTTCTAAATGGAAACTTTCCATATTTGGGGTTATATAAACCATGAAAAGAAAATGGAAAACTCATGCCACAAGTCATCCATTTTTTTGATTATTTCTGAATTTGGATCCAAATTTAATCAAAATTTCACTTTGGTCACCGAAATTAATTAACACTTCAATTTAGTCGTTGGAATATTTTTAAAAAAATTTTGTGGTGTGACACAGGCGGAAATACTCACCACTATACTACAAAAGCTGCTTGATTACTGTGAAGATGTCAAGTGTAATTGTTTAATAAATGCGACCATGTTTAATGGTTAGACTATAGGAAGTATAAATCAACGACTTGAAGGAATAAGATTGTATTTTTACTCATTTGTTTATTTTTTAAAATATTCATATTCGGTTCGTCTAAAATTTTTCGATCATGTTTGTTTATTTATTGTTAAACATGTTCGGGTTGCTTAGCGTTCATGAACATTTTTATTTCTATGGTTCGAGTCTTCTCAACAACCAATACTCCTCCTTTCTTGCGCTTTTATTTCCAAGCCAAAGAAAAATAGTGAAATTATGCCATTAATTCTTAAACTCATTAGACATTATACATAAGTCTAAGGTTCACCATGTGTTCAATTTATTCCTATTTTTAATAATATTTTAAATATAAAAAAATGATAAATGAGTCAATAAACAAATTCTCTCATGAACATAAATAAGCCGAATGCATCTATATTCGTGTTCATTCATTTATTAAATGAATATAAAAAATTTTTCACACTCATTTATTTATATTAATAACGAACGTAATAAAAAATTATATGAATACTTCGGTGAACACTATTTATTTAAACAAGTATATTTTGATACATGTATTTAACTTGCATAAAAATCCTTTTATCTAAAGTTATATTTATTGTAAGGGATTTATTTAAATCATGAAATCAGAGTTAGACACATAATTTAAACACATTTTAATTTAAAAATTGACGGTATAGGTAGGCCATCTCCATCCATGAGTAGGTGGCCCTATGGTGCCCCATGCATCATTTGTATCTATCATGCCTCGTTATATAGCCTTTTTCTTAGTGCTCTACAATCCATAACATTACATCATTTTTTCCAAAAGCCATCAATAGATTCCATCATCAATTTAGCTTTTCATCTTTATTTTGATTCTAAATGACACAAAGGAAGGGGAACGATCACACAACGATATTAATATACAATTAAAAAAATATTATCGATTTTGTTATTGTTTAAATAATAAAATCGATAAAAAATGACCAGAAACATTATTAAGTGTTAAAAATGACCAATTTTTTTATTATTGGAGTTTTAACCAAATTTTCAAAAAAATTATCGAAATATTATTAGGCGCAAAAAAATGACAAAAAATATTACTAAACGCTAAAAATGATCAAAAATATTAAAAAATAATATTTTAGATAAAAATAATAATAATATTATTAAATTTTTATTGATTTTATTATTTAAACAATAACAAAACGGATAATTTTTATTTTAGTTTTATATTAAAGTATCACGCCAAAGGAAAGGGACTTAAAAGCCCACCACTTCTAGCTTTATACGCATGAGCTAAACTTTGAAAGGACTCGTGAATCTAATCCACTAATTCCTCATCACAATAAAAACAACACTTGCATCAATATAGCCTACATAAACACCACCTATCTTTGCAGTTGTGTTGGCACAGTATACGTCCGTACGATGTTTACCCTTCCATGCTTTACAACAGCCTGAAACCCACCATTGTTCATCATTGCATCAAAATTCCAGATGAAATAATGATGTGAATTATAGGAACCCTGTAAATTGAGTTCATTGAACTTGCTGCAGAAAGAAAAGCAAACATTCCAAACTGTTACCATATGGATCAAGGAAAGACAAGCGAGCATTCCAAACTATGAATTTACAGCGAAAAGAAAAGATATCTATCAGTTGTCACAATCTTCAATGGCAATGGAAAACAAGATGAACACAGAGCTTTAAAGAAAAAGTGTACAAGTCTCAAAGGGCACCATTTGAAACCGGTGCCCCCCTCTTGAAGCTGTCCATGTTCGTAGTTTCAAACACAGGCAAACCACTGGAATAG